CAACAATCCATTCTTTATCTGCAACTTTTCTTTCTCTCGCTGTAGCAGAATGGCCTCCTGATGCTCAGTCTGGAAGCTACAGGGCCAATGTCCAGATTTTATATCATTTTTAATCTTTCCAATAGCTTCATCTGAGTCTTGTTCAGTTTGTAGGTCTGACATGCTGAACTGTTGTACTGGGTTCTCACCGAGAGAGATAGGGTACACATACAGATCAGGAATGGCAGATGGGGAAACACCCAGTTGATCCACACACCGCGTGTTTCCAGGAAACCCGGCCACACTTACAGTTTTGCACAGAGCTTTCACTCCAGATGGAGGTATCCACCCCTCTTCTTCAGAGTTTGCATTTCTGGAAAGCAGGTCGGCATCAATATTCTCCCGACCTGGTCGATACTGTATGCCAAAATCATAGGTGGACAGGGCAGCCAACCATCTATGACCTGCAGCACTTAATTTGGCCGTAGTAAGGACATAGGTCAGTGGGTTGTTGTCGGTTCTCACCGTAAACTTGGCTCCATACAGGTAGTCGTGTAACTTATCGACCACAGCCCACTTGAGTGCGAGGAACTCGAGTTGATGGACGGGATAATTTCTCTCAGAGTTTCTCAGCTTTTGACTGGCAAAGGCTACAGGACGCAAACCTTCTGGATGTTCCTGGTTGAGTACAGCACCCAGTCCATCAAAGCTGGCATCTACATGCAATATGTAGGGCTTAGTTGGATCGGCAAATGCCAGGACTGGTGCAGTTGTAAGGCAGTGTATTATTTTCTTAAAAGCAGTCGTACAGGCCACAGTCCACCTGTCCCCAAAGGGTTCAGATTTTTTAAGGTAGGCCGAATTGGAGTTAACTGCTCTCTGTCCCTTTTTAACAGGAGGGTAGCCTTTGGTTAAGTCAGTCAGGGGTCTCACAATGGATGAGTAGTTGGCAATGAATCGTCTGTAGTAGCCACAGAAACCCAAAAACGACTGAAGGCTCCTAAGATCCGTAGGCTGCTCCCAATTAAGGACTGCTTTGATTTTTTCTGGATCAGTAGAAATTCCTGAAGCAGACACGATGTGGCCGACATATTTGACCTGAGGTTGACAGAACTGACACTTATTAATAGACACCTTCAGACCATATTCTTGTAGTCGGTCCAAAACTTTGAGGAGACGTTCCTCATGTTCCTCTAGTGTCCGGCCGAACACTATTAGGTCATCCAGGTATACCAAACATTGCAGGAGGTTCATGTCTCCGACAGCCTTTTCCATTAACCGTTGAAAAGTAGCCGGGGCTCCTGTTATGCCTTGGGGCATACGCTCAAATTGGAAGAACCGTAGGGGGCAGATAAAGGCCGTTTTCTCCTTGTCTTGCTCAGCCATGCCAATCTGGTAATAGCCATTTCGAAGATCCAATACAGAAAACCAGCGGCTTCCTGTCATACAATCCAAGGCTTCATCAATCCTGGGAACTGTGTATTGATCAGGGATTGTTCGTGCATTCAGGGTGCGGTAGTCAATACACATCCTGATGGAGCCATTCTTTTTTCTTGCCACCACGATGGGCGAAGCATAAGGACTACGTGACTCCTTTATTATTCCTGCTGCCAGCAGTTTCTGCAGATGACTTCGCACATCTTCAATATCAGCAGGGGCAAGACGTCTTGATCTCTCTCGAAAAGGTCGTGAGTCACTGAGGCGGATGGTATGCTCGACTCCTCTGGCCAGTCCAACATCCCATTCCTCAAAGGAGAACACTCCGGCTTTCTCTGATAGTTTATGAGCAAGCCTCTCCTTCCAGGCACTTGGGATTGGAGAACCTCCAAAATCAAACAATCCAGGATCTATTGCTTGACCTGACTCTTTGCTTTTAGGCAACTCAGTCACAACGTTGGCTTTATGAATACATGCCACAATGGTGCCTTTAGGGATGGCTTTGGTTTTTATTGACTCGTTTTTTAACACCAGTGAGAAGTTGTTTACATTCATGTCAGATGGTAAGAGAACACATGGTGGCACCATTATTCCATCTGGGAGAGAGGGCTGCTCAGGAGGCTCAACCACCAACATATCCTGCTCCCAGGACTCTTTTGCAATGACTTTACAGGCTGCCAGGGCTGAGCCACCAGGGGGGACCTTAAGAGGCCCAGGACCCATCCATTTTATGTGGCCAACATTATCATCCAGCTGGACTGAGGGGCGTTCCTGTTTAAAGGTTTTTGGTGTGCTGACAGAAACACGCCAAGCTCGAGCCTGTCCAGGGCCTTCCGCTTCATCTGAACTCTTGGGCTGGTGACGAAAACGACAGGTGTTAGTTCCCATGATTACTGGGGCCTGATCTGGACCCTTAGGGTCGGGGCAGACTAATGCTAACACTGTCATTGGCTCTGAGCGACAACCCTCAGCCAAGAACTCAACATTCATAGCTATATAGCCCTTGTATGGGTAGCAGGATTCACTGAGTCCCCAGAGGGCCAAGCTGGAAATAGGATGAAGAGGTAAGTGGGACAAATGGTCTGTGTACCAGCTTTCAAATATTATGGTAACACTAGACCCACTGTCCATCAGGGCGTTGGTTGGTTGACCTTCAATGATTACTTTACTGAGGGAGGCCTCTCCTACTAGTCCCTCCGGGATGTCGGTAGCATGTTGGGCATCAACCGCATTCCTTTTGACAGAGCAGTTGGTATTTGAGGTCTCTTTTGCTTGTTTGTTTGTCTCATTTCTTTTTTGTCTTTTTAGAGAACGGATCAGTTTCTGAATGACTTTGCCCTGTTCTTCGGGGGCTGTACAATGAGTAGACACATGTCCTCCTTCCCCACACCTGTAACAGAAGAAGTCCTCTTCATCATAGCTGGTGTGAGTAGGTCTTTGGCTACTTAGGTGAGGGGGAGCTTTATTCACTTTATTTTCTGGTCTCCATCTTGCACCTTTAGTCTGAGGAGGATTTGTGTGTGTCACCGTCATCATGTTGAGGTGATGTTGCACCTCCTCAACTTGTTTTCTCAAAGCCTGAACTTCATAATTTTTTCTGGGTTTCATGTCATCTGTGTGGAATGCATTTTGAGCATCCGAGGCGGCTTTTAACTGGCCAGTTGTGAGTTCAGACACTTGGGACTGCAGCATTTGGACTTGAGCCCGCAGCTCCTGAACTTCAGATTCTGACTTATTTTCATCTTCCACCCTCACTTGCCGGACAATTGGTCTAGCAGAAGGAGCAATATTTTTCTTCCTTACTGCTTGTTGAAACTCTTCTTCTCTGATTTCATTCAACAGTGTCAGGAAAGGAGGAGGATTACGCTTTCTTTCTCTTAGGCGTAACTGTAGTAGCATTATTTCAGACTCTGTGGTTCCACGAAGGAGCTGGTCCACACGTGTACTGTCTCTCATATTGGGAGTTATCCCTCCTCGCTGAACCACTTTTGTTAGTTTTCGCTCTACTCTCCGTAAGAAATCAGAAAGTCTTTCACCTGAGCTTTGGCGCAATGCTCTGAAGGAGAAGTAGAGATCTTCAGGACTCTCTGGGGATCCAAATGCTCTTTCTAGAGCTTCAATATATTCCCCTGGGGATGCATCTGGATCATTAGCTCTTACGGCTTGAGCAATCTCCAGAGCAGGTCCTTTCAGGCTTTCTATGATCCTTTTCCTTTTCTCTCGAAAGGAACAGTCACTCTCATCCACCATTAGCTGAGCTTGCTCCATCCATGTCTCCAAACTCTCCTCTCCTGGAGGTGTGGGACTTATGCCAGAATATGTTCGGAGACGCCTGAAGACATTACTTTCTTGGGCAGGCTTCAGTGTCTTTGCTAGCAGATCACCAACCGCTCTGATGATCGACTCGGCCGAGTTTCCTGGCATAGCTTCTGATGACAGCATTTCTGGTGCAGCTGCTTCTTCAGTAGATGTAGGACTATCTTGTGAGAGAGGATCTGTTTGTCTCTTTTCAGGGTTGACGTTTTCTTCATCTGCAGGCCCATGCAATGTCCACAGTTCCCCTCCTTCAATAGGCGGCACATCCAGCGGTATAGTTTTTGTATTTACTCTTTCACTACACTCACATAAAACCATCAAGGACTGTGATTGAGGGTTAAACATGCGCCCTCTCACCCTAACTCGTCCTAGGACTTTGATAGTCATCAAAGTTTCTTCAATGTGCTTAACTGTGGTCTCAATGGGGACCTGTTTTACTACAAGTGCATGGGATGCATCTAAGCCCTCCCCTATACACCAATTTTCCAACAAAGACATTTTGTAGTTAATGTTTTACTAACTTATTTCTGTTTTGGAAAGTTTTAAGTAGTTCTTACTTTTCCCTTGTTAAACTACAGGTTCAATTTAACCAAGTTAGTAATCTGGGTCAGACAGTAACCAAAAACAAAACACAGCCTAACTAAAGAAACCTTGGGGACTAGCTTTCACATGCAAGTTTATTTTATACTTATCTATTTTATTGTTTTTCGAATTCCAATCCCAGCGGTGCCTCCATTTATGTAGCGCTTTCTGTCATCTAGGCTAGATTTAACGCTTCGGGTTCGTAAAGCTATCTGTAAAACCCCATGGTCCTGCCAGTGAGACCGAGTATGTCTGACCCAGAAATAAGGACACGTTATAAGAATAAAGAATTTATTCTTTAACTCAAGAAATAACAATTAACTATGCCACGGTTATCACTGTGGGAACCACATTCAAACCCAAATGTATTTTTGTTACCCTTACAAAAATTAACACCAATAACAAATAAAAGTAAACCAGACTTTATCAACCTACTACTGGTTGATAAATAGGGACTCTCCCTCAGTATTAAACACCTTGTTAGCTCAAAAGTAACTTATTTATAACTTTCCGGAACACATAACATTTCTTATTTATAACCACAAATTGTACACACTAACTGGTACTGTTTAAATGGTGGGCCCACCCAACAACAGAAAACAAATAAATGCCGGCAAAATAGTCATTCAAACCCCACGTTGCAGGCCTGTTATTGACTCCACTCACCCCGGGTCCTCAGCCCGATGATGAAGGTAGGTTCCCAACGACTCCTATCTCCTGACAGCAGTAAAACCCCGCACTCAGGGGCGGATCTATAGGGGTGGCTACGGGAGCAATTGACTCCCCCGAAATCTGATTGGCTACCCCAACTGCCACCCCAGATGATTGACGGCACCGCTAAAACAGTTGCACGTCTGAAGTCTTTGACTGCGATGTTCTTCCTGTACAGTAGATGGCGCAATGCAGCATGCGCTATGCAGCCCCTTTCCAGTCGTGAATCTAGTGTGAAAGAAGAAGAACTAAAGCGCCTGTGGAGCCACCGAGTGCAACAAGCTGCAAAACATTACCGGTGAGTAGGCTGCACGTCCACAGATTATATTCATAAAAGAAGCTCAATAACTAAGAGTTTGATAAGTTCAGTCAATGAGGATCATCCTCTGTTCAATTGATGTCCGTTTCATAAATCAGAATGATAAGGAGAAGCCCTTGCTTTTCACGAAGGGCAGCTAGAAGCTAGCCTGGCTGTAAACAGACAGGTGCAGGTGGGTGATATTGATGCGTTTCAGTGTCAATTTCTGTGATTTCATGCCCATGTCTGCTGAAAATACTGCTGACGAGAACGGAAACTATTTCATTTTTTTTTATGTCCGTGTCTAGAACCTTCTGAATTATGAAACCAGCAATATCTTTGATCAGAACCGTTTGCCCATGTCATGAAATGCATTACTAGTCGTAGATAATTCACGACCGATGTAGTTAGCTAGTCTCAGGGCAGCAGACAAATGTAATCCACAGTAAAGTTATGGCAGGCTGAAACCTTAATTGAATGGATAGATTCAGAGGCGTGCACAGACATTTTGGGGGGCAGGTGCTCAGGAGGGGGGCAGGGCACTTTTTAGCGCACGTGTAACACTTAATTATAAAAAAAAATACACACGCATGTTGAATGAATTTTGACTTTTATTTGTAACATTCTATAAACGTGAGTTTTCAATGAAAAAATCCCTCATCCATCTGGTCTCCCTCATCCTGGTCTTTTTCTGTCTCTGTGTCTTCCCTGAACTCTTCCTCATCTGTCCTGGTAGATGTTGATGGTATAGAGCTTCCCTGCTGTGACTGGCTACAATATATTAATAATAACCATCATGACAATAATAATGATAATAATAATAATAATAGCTTTAACAAATATGCCACATTAGTTTAAATAATGGGCTATTAGGGCAACATGACTGGAAGTCTTGTCACGTGGATATGACTTATGGTAGCCTACAAAATAATAGCTATTTCAATACCTGCTGATTTTGTACAAACCACTTAAAAATAAAATGTGAACAGCTTTTAAGATTTTTCAATACGATTAACCCTCCTTTCTTGGTATTGTGCTGCATTTACTAAATCAATATACAATTAAGACAATAAAGAGACCAAAATTTGTTAATTAATGTTTCCTAACAAAACCCATACAACAGAAAACGTTTGTCTTAACACATAGATTTGCAATTGCAAACTCTACCGAAATTATTTGTAGCCTATGTGGACGTCCACACGTTATCTGTCATTGACTTGGGCTACAGTGTAAAACTTTATCTAGCCTAACTAGTTTATCAGGTGACCAGTCGGCAAAATGCATGTTTGGTGCTGCTGAATGAGACATTTTAATGCACAACAAAATGATATTGCTTGATCTGTATATTACCTGGCTAATGGGGCACGGGAGAAGCAGCCTGTCAGCGACCATTCCTGCTATCCGAAGATGCTTACTGAACTGCTATGATGCTGCGCATCTGGCATGCCCTGCGGGCGACCGCGCGAGGTCACGTGACAAAGGAAGAGAGATAGGCTGGTCGGGTGTGTAAGGAGGTGGCTCATTTCGGGGCATTGTTTCAGTCGTTTTTAATGGCTCAGGTTTTCAAAAGATCATTTTAAAACCGACCTCAGTAAAATCTTAATAATAAAAATAAAAAACGAGTTTCAAAAGGGCATTTTCGTTGATAAAGGGCAAACTTCCTAGTGCTTTAGCACCACCTAGTGTCTATGTATGCACGCCCCTGGATAGATTGCAGTCACTAGACATGTCCTATTGTTGTGTTCTGATATTTCTAGGCTGTAATAATGTAGTCTGTATTCATTAATTTCCTTGTGCATCATTTTGGACACGAAATGTTGCATTTTGCTTTGATAAGAGAAGTCATGCATGCTAGGAGTAACAAAACGTTTTTTTTCCAGTTGAGAATGAAAAGACAGGGAGGCACGATTTATAACTACTTTAAGAGAAACAGATCAGGCTTAGAGCAGATCAGCAGCCCCGGCAGCCCTCATCCTGGGACTAGTCAGGAAAGTCCAGCAGAATCCAGCCTGTCATCATCGCCAGGTTTGAACATACAGAAGCAGTCACATGTTCAGTTATTTTAAATTATATTTAACATTATTTCAGATGTTCAGTTCAGTCATTTTAAGTTATGTTAAACATTATTTTGAATGTTGGTTATTGTTGTATGTTTAGTTTTAGACAATGGTTGTTTATTTTGATCATACTATTAAATAAATATTTTTCTACTATGTAGGTGTGAGAGTGGACCGAGATGATGACAAGTCCCAAACTGGAACCATTACCGAGGAGTGTCAGGCACAACACAGCCCACCATCATCAGGTCAGAGCAAGTCAGACATGCCAAGTTCAGTCAGTGTGAGATTGTTCTATAATATGTAATTTATAGTATGTGTTGCTTTTAACATTATTTATTTATATTATTTTTATTGTTATTATTGTTTCACAATATAGTTCCTTCTGAGGAAGGCTCTGAGGCTTCTGAACAAGACGACGACCCAGACCCAGAGCAACCTGAGCCTGAAGATGTGTCCAGCACTGCCTTTGCACCTTCAAAAGGGCCCAGTGGTAGGTCTATTTGAAACCTATATGTCTATGTGATACCTGCTAATTCGCTGTTTCTGATCACCTTGTGCATCTCTGATTCTCAACTATGATTCATTGTATCATGTTACAGATATTTCAACATCGAGAGAAGAGGTACCAGTTCAGCCACATTTGAGTAAATACCCCAAGACTCTCCATGGCACCAGCAAGAGGGCCTTCAATAGCAAGTGGTACACGAACAATTCATGGCTTGAGTATTCAGTGTCAAAAAACTCTTGCTACTGCTTTGCTTGCAGGCATTTTTCGTTGCCCAATGCGCCTGACTCTGCCTTCACATCTGATGTAGGCTTTTCAAATTGGAAAAAGGTACTGTCAAAAGAGGCAGGATTTAAACTCCATTCTAGATCTGAGCTTCATATTAACGCAATGTATGCATGGTCTGAGTTCAAAAAGAGGAAAGAAGTAGATCAGACTTTGTTAAATGCGCTAAATGAAAAGCACAAAAAAAAGGTGCAAGAAAACAGGCAGTACATCAAAACAATTGCAGAAGTACTCCTTTTGACTGCCACCCAAAACATACCCCAAAGGGGTCATGAAGAGTCTCAAGAATCAAAAACAAGGGTAACTTCTTGACAATACTTGACACAATCGCGAAACATGACAGCTTCATACAGCAAAGATTAGAGGCATCTGGTAATGCAAAGTACACCAGTCACAACATCCAAAATGAAATGCTTCAGACATTAGCTGATATGGTTCAAAAACAAATAATTGCAGAAGTGAAAGAAAGTGAAGTCTTTAGTGTTATGGCTGACGAAACAAAAGATTTGAAAAAAAAGGAACAAATGTCGTTGGTAGTGCGCTACTACTACAATGGTGCCATACATGAAAGCTTCCTATGCTTCCAACCAGCTGAGACCCTTAATGCAGAAGGCCTCAGTCAAATGATTGTCCGTTGTTTAGAGAGACATGGTCTAGACTACAGGAACAACTTGGTGGGACAAGGTTATGACGGAGCCTCTGTCATGAGTGGCAAGCATTCTGGGGTTGCAGCAAAAATACAGAGCAATGCCAGATTTGCGTTTTACGTGCATTGCAATGCTCATTGCTTAAATTTAGTTCTTGTTGATGCTACAAAATCAGTGCCTGAGGTTGTGGACTTTTTTGCACTTCTGCAGCAGCTATATAACTTTATATCTGGCTCTTATGTGCACCTGAGGTGGCTTGATGTTCAACAGAAACTATATCCATCACAGCAGCCCAGGGAACTACAGTCACTTTCAGACACCAGGTGGGCCTGCAGATATGCAGCATGCCGTAATCTTAGGGACAGACTTCCTGCAGTGCTGAAACTATTGCAAGATCTCTCACTTGAAAAACATGGTGAAAGATCAGTGCTAGCAAGGGGGCTTCTTTCACAAATTGACTTGCAGTTCTTGGGGCTTTTGGTCACTTTCTGTGAAGTACTTGGGGATGCCAAGTGTCTGTCAGACATGCTCCAGTCCAGCACTCTCAACTTAGCAAGGGCTGTGGATTTAGTACAGTCCCTTAAAAGCACTTTCCACAATTACAGATCTGATGATTATTTTAGCAAACTGTGGAAAGAGGTTGAGGAGCTTGCACAACAGTGTGAAATTGGTGTACAAGCAGACAAGAAAAGGCAACGAAAAATAAGCTCAAAATTCCTGGACTCACTGATGATGAGCTCAGTAGGGCAGAGAAATTGGAATGAAGAGGATTTCCCCAGAGCATTATTTTACCAAGTCATTGATTGTCTAATTAGTGAGCTGGATAGGCGTTTTTCTGGCAAAAATTGTGAGATCATGCATGGTGTCCAGTCTCTCAATCCAAATAGTGCAACCTTTCTAAATAATGAGCCTTTGTTTGCCTATGCCCAAACCTTTGAGTCTGATGTATGTGACCTTAGACATGAAGTTCACCAAACAAAGCGGCTACTGGAAAGGAGAATGAAAAGGGGGTTAGACAAACCAGCTTCTCTGCTTGAATTTCTTGTCTTTCTTGAGCCCTACAAAGAAGTTTTTCACGAGCTATTCAGGCTCTGCAAAATTGCCATTGTTATACCTGTTAGCACTGCTTCCTGTGAGAGAAGCTTCTCTGCCTTAAAGCTAATAAAAACACATCTCAGGACAACAATGATGGATGACCGGTTGAATCATCTAGCCATTCTAAGTGTTGAGTCCAGGAGGGCACGTGCCCTTGACATGGATGATTTTGTCAATAATTTTGCCACTTCTCATCAAAATAGAAGAATTATGCTTCTTTGAAGTTATCACCATGCTCTGCACTCAAATCAAGTCAAGTGAACGTAATTGTTAAAAATCTATGTCACACAGTCATCACAGAAGTTTGCACACACATACACATTAAACACTTGATAGCACACACACACACACACACCTTGTGCTGAAGAAGAAGACTAACACTTATGGACAGTAGCAATGTGCAAAGAGTAAAGTGCAAGTGTCATGGTGAAAGAAATGTTCATGGAATGTTCTCCAATGTCATTTAAATGTTAAATGTAGTTTTCCTCAATGTGTTGATGAATCTGGCTTGTGGAAAGAAGCTGTTTCCCAGTCTGCTTGTGCTTCCCTGATTGTAGCAGGGAAAACAGTTTGTATGCTGGGTGAGTGGGATCTTTGATCTGTGTTTCTGTTATCAGAGTTGAAGAATGCACCATATTCATTTTGTTCATAAATAAACTACAAATTGTACTCAAAATTGCACCTTTTGTCTGCTTAGTATGTGGCTAATTAAATATGATTGCAAATTACTGCTTACAAGGTTTATATAAGAAAGGTCAATAAGCCTTAATTAACTTGTAAATTATGCACCAAAGATAACCACAGACTAGTTGGCTTTCATCTGTAGCCCCTGGAAGTTTGATGTTGAAAGAAGTGTGTGTGTGTGTGTGTGTGTGTGTGTGTGTGTGTGTGTGTGTGTGTGTGTGTGTGTGTGTGTGTGTGTGTGTGTGTATATAGAGTATAACAAGAATGATAAGTCATTACTCATGACATGTCAAAGAAGAACACAAGACAGGACCAACATCTGTAAGTCCATGTAGAAATAAATGATAGTGAATAATAATTTAAACGTGACATGAAAAGGTATACAGCACTCGATTGCTTACAGACGGTTGGTGTTTTCTGCTGCGACATTAACGCTAGTGCATAAACTTTGTTATTTTTAAGTATAAACCATTGCCCCCCTAAAATACACTTGGCCACCCCCTTGCTACCCCAAGGATAAAAGTCTAGATCCGCCCCTGCCCGCACTCCTTTATCCACGAAGGTGAAGAAAATCCAAACCTCGACCCAACTGATGAAGGTAAGCTCCCGACGACTCCTTTATCCGCGAAGGCGAGTAAAATCCACACCTCAACCCACCGCCGGTGCAGCAGGTCGCTCCGGATCCACCGTCTCCCTGGCAACTCTCCGTTCCAGCTCACTCCACCGTCTCCATGGCAACCCTCCGTTTCAGCTCACCGAACGCGTCACTCTCAGTCCGTCAGCCGTCCTTACTCTGTCCTCCAACCACTCAGTAGTTGCACGGGTGAGCAAACTTTTCTCACACCACTGCTCACTCAAAGTTCCAGCGGCACTCTGCCAAGTCTCCTCCCCGACGTCCTTTCCGCACGCGCTATAATCCTCTCTTTTTTCTCTCTTTTTCTTTTCGCTCCCCTCTTGTCCCGCCTCCCGGCCAATCAGATTTTAGGAGAAATGCCGTTGCCCAATAGCAAAGGTCCACACAGCATCCTTGTCTGTCACACCTCGTGTTGAGGTGTGCTTTCCATATAAACTATACCATACTTGTTCTATCTTAAAGGAACAGAACACCACATATTAACCAGTCTTTTACTTTGACTTTTTAAGTTATTTTTCTCTCACCATAAGTCTTGAATATTATTATATCTTACTTTAAGATATTAATATACCGACATTAAATTTGTTAGCCTTGTCATTTTTAAAACAACAATAACACACATTTCTGGGAACCCCAGAGGGTTACATATATATAAGAATTGTGCTATAATTTCTAGTCACCGATCTGTTGCTGCTATATTTTAATTTGACGAACCGGAATTTGTCGATGTTCTTTTTCCTGTTTGGTGCAATTGCAACTGCGGATCTTGACCTGGCCGGACCTTATGACCACAGTGTACCAATCTTCTGATGGCTATTTCCAACAGGATAATGCGATATGTTATAAAGTAAATCATCTCAGACTCATTTCTTGAAACTTTTCCACTTAAGTAATTGTGAATTGAGCATATTGACAGACAACATTTTATTTTTTATCTTAAATGCAATTTTTTTTTTTTATAATTACTGCTCTGTCAGCTAAAGATCTGTTTTGGTCTCTATACTTTAATTAAATAAATCAATTCAAGCTAAAATGTAAGAGGCTATACCTGATCTCTTTGTATCAGAGAATTTCTTACCCAGAAAGATGTCACTTGGTGTAAAACCCCCCCTGCAACCCTGGTTTGCATTTGTATAGCTCACAGCATGTTCATTTACATGTTAAAGCCTCCCCTAGAATTCCATGGGGGGGAGGCATGGGGGGAACACTGCCTAAGAGAGTCCACGTCAATTTCTGACAATTTACGGGAGTTTTCGGCGAAGCCTGCAAATTGTCGTAAACTGCCGCTAACCTGAAGTTCCACGACAATCTACAGTGCCGCATATTGACGAAAATCCCACTTTTCATGCAGTGTCTGTAGTTGATATTCAGACATCTAACTTTATTGAACTTTCTGTTAGGTACAGTTAGCGGATATCCTAAACACGGCACACAGTCTTGTGTCATTATTAAACCGAAGGTTAGGCTCTTCAGGGACTGTGAGGCCAGTTGCACAAGAAAGTGAAAGACAGTCTGTTGAGGGACAGTCGAGGCAAACAGAGACAGGTCCACAGTCAGGACAGCTAAGATGTCCTCAGCGCAGTGGTTCAGTTCATCAAGAAATGGCTCGGTAAGTTTCATCTTAGTCAGCCTGTGTAGCAAGCCTGCGGTCTGTGTTGATCTTCTGCATTTCTGTCAATTTAAATTTGATATTGAATAAAATAAGCTGTATAAACATCATCATCATAATTTTTTCAGATAATTTCCTGGACTTTTTCGCCGAGAGACAAAAGGGAAAAGACGTTTTACACCGTATACCCGACCAAAAAAAAGTTTTCTGGTGAACTTTTTTCTCCTTGAGAAACAACGTTCCAAAACCCCCAAAGGAGACGAAGAACTCCAGCTTATATTGGCTGGTCTGGGTAAACGTTCTCTCTCAGTAACAGAGAGTTTAACACATACAGAGGTAATTTTTCTTTAAGTATAGTAGACTATAATCTGTTTCTTTCTTTCTTTGTTTCTTTTTATTGTTGGAGCTATTCTATCCACTGACTTTTTCTGCATCCTGTGATAACTGAATGAGCCGATGTCTTGGCTGAATTTCCCCATATAATTATATATATTCCAAATCAATGATCTCTCCTTGGGTTACGGAATAGAAAATGTAGAAAATAATTGTATTTGTTATATGTATGATATTGACTAGTAACTGAACTTTTTTTGTATAAGCTGACAGATTTGTTGCTTAATGCATTTCCAAGGCTTGCAAGCATCAATGGTGGCTGGTTGCTATACAAGTCTACAGTTATGTTGTAATGAAACATAAACTGTTAAACTTATGTTATACAACCAGTTTAACTCGGTGAATGTGCATACAGTTGAGTAAATGATGTCTGTAAATGTTTAACATTTCTAGGTGGTGGTGGGCAGCGCAGATTAGTTGTTATTCCTCCTGATTCTGATGGTTATAGTGGGCACCAACTGAAGACCGTTAGTGGAAATGGAAAATGTACACTGTACATAACTCCTCTACAGGAACAAATTGAAACTTCTCCATTACCACCAGATGCAAAAGAATTTGAAAACATGCCTAAAGCTCCATGCACCACCTGCAACAACATGGTACCACTCCAAGCTCTTCCGTTTCACATCAAGAGCTGCAAAGAGGAAATGATTTATCTCAGCAGCTCCCCTGAGAATGTATGTCAAATACTGGCTATAAGTAATAAAGTGTTGGCTGTAATTAACCAAATAATTGATTACATTTATATTTGTATGTTTTATAATTAGGAAAGCTTCACTCAGGACAATGAATCTCCATTAAGGACAAAACATCAGACAGAGATGGTGAGATGCTTTGTTTGCTGGTTGTCTGTTTGAATTATTAATTTAACTTTTTTATGTACATTCTGTGTCATTTGGACTACTGAGTGTCCAGTGTGCAGAGGTATATTCAGCACTGATGCCATTGAGACCCATGCATCTGACTGTGGAATACGGTACTTCACCAGGATTTAAAAAAAAAACATTTCATGTAGTCAGTGATTTATCCATATATGAATTCTAATTATTATTCCTACAGATCTTCAAACCAAGAATGCAATATAAGCACCTCAGAGGATGAGAGTAACTACTTTCAAAGCTAAACAAAAACAAAACTCCATTTCACCATATTTATAGAGGAAAATGCATTATTTAAAGACGGGAGCTCCAATTAGTAATATTTTGATTCAATTTCTAGCAAAAGAATGGATAATATTTTTACATTATTCTTTCAGAAAGTGTTGGTAATATTTCTTTATCAGTTTTCCCACTCCTAACTTATTTGCTGTCAATGAACAACTAATTATAATTAACTAACTATAATTTTTTTAGCTCAGAGGAAATCTTGAACTGGATCAGCGGCCAAGTGGACGACAGCTGCACATTTTCCCTTTGTGTGTCAAGATTTGATCTCTTTAGTAGAGGAATGCAACAGTGGCAACGCCAGAAAAAATCCCGTCCAAACTGCCGACTGAAGGTTTCTTTTTTTGGGGAATCTGGCATTGACACAGGCGCTCTAAGTAAAGAGTTTCTAACAGGTACATTTACATTAGCTCATTGAGTTAGTTTTAATGCAACTTAAACATTATTCGATCACACTTTATATAATTTTTTTTCTTGTTGTTGTTCAATTTAGAAATGGTTTCTGAGGGGACTTCCGGTGACGCCATGAAAGGAGAAGCAGCCTGATTGCCCTACTCCGAGGAAAATCCCTTAAAAACTAGCTTATTTGACGATATAACATATAATTTATAACAATTCGACGAATTACAAAAATGACTACTCTCAGAAAAGAAGTTGATAAGAAAAGTAAAACGACCTCGCAGAAAGAAACCTGCCAACTTCCAGAAACTACTACGGTCGTGAGTGAACAGAAAGACAACATGGAGACCGTACTTGCAGAGCTAAAACAACTGAGAAGGGAACACACGGATGCTTCACACGATACTAAAACTACTCTGTCAAGGGTGGAATCATCATTGAAAGACGTGCTTGAACGAACGACGAAACTGGAGCAGCAAATTACTGACACCAACCAAAGAGTGAGCGACGCTGAGGACCAGCTGCTCCGCCATGACCGAGTGCTGCGCTACATGCTACAGAGAGAAGCTAATCTCTCAGCTAAATGTAAAGACCTCGAGTCAAGATCCAGGCGCAACAATCTACGCATCTACGGGATACCTGAAGGAGAAGAAAAGAACGACATGATTTCCTTCGTGACTGACTTGATGCGCACCTCACTCAAACTACCGCAGGACATGAATCTGAATATAGAGAGAGCCCACCGGTCGCTAAATGTGAAGCCCAAAGACTCCGCTCCCCCTCGGTCAATCATCGTCAGGTTTTCTAACTACAGAGTGAAAGAAAAAGTAATACAGACGGCATGGAGTAGACGTGATGTCACCCACCACGACCAAAGGATATACTTCGACCAAGATTACACGGCGAACGTACAGAAGAAACGCAAACAGGTCCGAGAAGTTATTAAGCAACTTAAAGACAAAAACGTGAAAGCAGTATCACCTTTCCCGGCTCAACTGAAAATCCACCTGGACTCCGGTGTGAAGACCTTTTCAACACTTGCAAGAGCAGCCCCAACACTGGAGAAGATGGGAATCCATGTCAAGATAGATGAGCGTGAGAGATACCGAGAGGAACTGCTGGGCGAATCCTGGACCACGGTGCCCGGAAAAGCAGGAGAAACTATGCTGAGCATAACGGACATGCGGGCGATTTTACAAGGTAATAATTAAACAAAGGATTTGGGAGTAATATATGGACAATTAAAAAATTGATCTCAAAGTATCACATTTGGGTTAAAATGACTTGAAAGAAGGCTAGTTTAGTAAAATATGAAACAATTCTGTATACCAGGGAATTTCCTCACCACAGGAACGGTAGGATGATTTATTTTTTCTATTTTATTTTATGTATACTTGTTTTTGGAAAGGCAAGTCCGGGAACAGACTCTTGTTGTCAGACTGCTATCACACGGCGTGTTCAGGCGAAGGGATTCTGTCACACCCCCTTCGTCGCCATGGAGACCAGTTTTAAGGTCGTATTGTTACTTAGTTCAGTGTTTGGAAGCCTGTTCACTTTAAAGTTCAAGTATGTTCTAATGTTTGTAAACTTTACCTTGACCAATTTAGCAAATGTGCAATCACATCGTGTAAAATACATATTTTACATTAATATTGATACTTACAGGATCAGTAATATAGAAAAGGTATTCATAATTAAAAGGTACATATGGAAAAACTAACAATCGTAACATATAATGTCCACGGATTAAATCACCCAATAAAGAGGAAAAAAATCTTTAATCAACTAAAAAAGATGCACTGCTCCATTGCCCTACTACAGGAAACACACCTAAACGAATTAGAACATAAAAAATTAAGACGGGACTGGGCAAATCAAGTATATAGTGCATCATATGGAAATAAGAGAGGAGTCACTATTTTATTTAACAAATCATTGGCCTTTTCTACAGAAAAAGTTATTCAGGATAAAATGGGGAGATATGTCTTTGTGCTTGGTCGGATGTGGGAGGAGGAGATATCTATTTTGAATCTTTACGCTCCTAACGAATGTGATGAATCCTTCTTTAAAAAAATAGCTAATATAATTGCAGAGAATGCTAAAGGCATAGTAATAATTGGAGGAGACTTTAACGCAGTACATGATGGCAAAATGGATAGGACACCAGTAGAGAGGGGGAGTCAGAGCAGAAAAACAAAAATACTTAATAATATGGTAACTGAACTGGGACTGGGGGATCCATGGAGATTTAAAAACCCGAGCAAAAAGGATTTTACTTTCTTTTCGAAAGTTCATAATAGCTATTTAAGGATAGACTTCTTTTGCATACCACAAAAATATTTTTATAAAGTAATTGACTGTAGTATTGAACCAATTACTCTGAGTGACCATGCTCCAGTTACCCTACAATTAAACTTAAGTAAGGACATTCCATTTAGATACTGGAGGTTAAATGTATCACTACTCACCAACACATCAGTGATTCAGGAACTGAGACAACATTTGCTTGAATATTTAGAGATAAACGATAATGGATCAGTAACACCACCTATGATGTGGAGTGGAGCCAAGGCAGTGTTAAGAGGAAAAATGATACAGATATCTTCTAGATTTAAGAAACAACGCATGGAAGAACAAACAAGACTTGAAAATAAAATAAAACAACTAGAAATTGAGCATAAGCATAGAGGAGGAGATGACACTCTAACAGAACTAAAAGAGACTAGAAAAAAGCTTGATGAAGTTCTTACATACAAAGCAGAGGGAGCACTGAGGTTCTCCAAACAAAGATTCTATGAGATGGGAAATAGAGCCAGTCGACTGTTATCTTTCCAGCTTCGAAAAACACAATCGGACAGAATAATACACAAAATAACAGATCCCTCACTTAAAACAACTCTATTTCGTCCGATAGAAATCGCCAACGCTTTTGCATCCTTTTATAAAAACTTATACCAGGAACCAAACCAAATCAATAACGAAGTAAAAAATCAAACTGCTATGTTTCTTGCTAAGTTAAGACTACCTACTCTGTCTGAGGAGGAGGCGGCTGAAATGATCTCAGATATAAGAGAAACAGAAGTACAGGAGGCAATTAACAATTTGAAAAATAATAAATCTCCAGGGACTGATGGACTCCCGGGGGAATTCTATAAGTGCTTCAAAAACATCTTATCGCCAACACTAACGAAAATGTTTAACTATGCACTTAAAAAGGGTGAAATCTCGGACTCCTGGTCCGAGGCCATCATCTCAGTTATTCATAAGGAGGGGAAAGACGCAACAATTTGTGAGGGATACAGACCAATTAGCCTGTTATGCACAGATCTAAAACTACTAACCAGTATTCTGGGTAAAAGGATACAGAAATATATTAAAAAACTAATTCACCCAGACCAGACGGGTTTCATTCCAAATCGACAAAGTGTTAACAACATAAGGAGAACCCTGAATGTTATAACACAAGCCAAAGAAACCAACCAAGAATCCATGCTAATTAGTTTTGATGCACAAAAAGCATTTGATACAGTTAACTGGCAATTTTTATATAACACCTTGCTAACTATGGGCTTCCATCCACGTTTTGTGGAATGGATTAAAATAATATACACGAACCCTAAATCACGTGTTAGAGTTAATGGAGTTTGCTCTGACTTCTTTATGCTTGAAAGAGGGGTTCGCCAAGGAGATTGTCTTAGTCCCCTACTCTTTGCATTAAACATCGAACCTCTGGCAGCAGCAATTAGAATGAACAAGCATATTAAAGGTATTAGAGATAAAAATAATACGGAACACAAGATTTCACTTTTTGCCGACGATATTTTGACCTACATAAGTGATCCGGTGAAGTCTATTCCCTCACTTATGGAGACTATTGAAGATTATGGTAGACTTTAAGGTTACCAAATCAATCAATCCAAATCTGAAGTGATGGTGTTACACGGTCATTTACCCACAAAATTAACAGATAGATTCAAACCTAAAACATCAAAACAGGGATTCAGATACTTAGGAATTTTCATAACTCCTCAAACTTCACAACTTTTTAAAGCTAATTATGGAAAACTAATGGATGAGATCAAGACAGACCTTATGAGATGGAACATTCTACCCCTCTCACTAGTAGGGAGGATTGAAACCATTAGAATGAACATCCTTCCAAGACTCCTCTTTCTGTTTCAAACCTTACCTATAAAAGTACCCATGTCCATATTTAATATTCTGAATAAATGGCTTTCGAAATTTATCTGGCAAAATAAACGCCCCAGAATTAGATTGAAAACTCTTATGTGTCCTAAGGAACATGGAGGACTAAACGTACCAAACCTTAAAAAATACTACTGGGCCGCACAAATTAGATCAATAATAACATGGATACGCCAAGACGAAGATCCAATTTGGTACAAGATGGAACAAGGCGACTCCCAAGATATACTTCTTGATACTGTCCCATTTGTTAACCAAAACACATGGACAAAGAATAAAATTAATAATGAATGGGTTAAGTTTACTCTAGTAACATGGGCAAAGATCAAAAAGATACTAAATCTACCCAACTCCTTATGTAGAGTTATACGGCTCGACCATAACGCTGAATTTCTTCCTACATCTGGACTACATAACTGGGTTGAAAAAGGATTGATTCTAATAGATCAAATGTTTGAAAATGGAAACCTAATGTCCTTTCAACAACTTCAACAAAAATACAATCTCCCAACCCATGACCTTTTTAAATATTTGCAAATGAGACATTACCTGCAGAAACATAAGGAATGGGAAAACCTACAAATACCCCCCTCAAACATAGAGAATTTTTTTTCTCTCTGTAATAAAAGGAAACATAACCACCAAATTCATATCCCATACCTACAAAATATTGCAAGAGGAAGGAATAACTGACACAAAAGATATTAAAGGGAAATGGGAGCTAGAAATGAATGTCATAATCAATGATGAAGACTGGGAGAAAATGTTCCGAGAGGGTCATAAAATATCAAATAGCCCAATGCTAAGAGAATTTGAATGGAAAATCAAAGTGAGATTTTTTAGGACTCCTCTTCTCACATCCAGATTTAACCGCACCTCGGACAAATGTTGGAGGGGTTGTGGACTAATTGGAGATTTCACCCATGTATTTTGGGACTGTCCAAAACTATTAACCTATTGGAAAGGAATACAAAGGGAAATTAATAAATGTCTGGGCATTACAATTCCTCTAAAGCCATCTTTAATAATACTGGGTATTTTCCAGAATAAAATCCAAGATCACAGTAAGATTTATATCTTAAGGATTTTACTTGTCCTCGCAAAGAAAATGATTACTGTCTCATGGCTGAAGCCTCAGCCCCCAACAGTTTCCCAGTGAAAGAATAGAGGGAGGGAGGTTTACCATATGGAACAAATTACGGCAAAACTTCAGATGAAAAGTGATATCTTCTTAGAAAAATGGTCCCTAATTCAAACATTCATTTCGAATTGAAATTGATGGAAACTATGATTAATAAATAGGAGATTCCTCCTCGAGTTCTTCACCCTGATTGTATAATTATTGTTTGCCTCTTTAAGAATCCAGACAAACAAAACATTTTATGAAACATAACATGTGAGTTTGTACATGTAACCTGTAAAATGTATTATCTGTAAGATGTATGTGATGTGACCAGCACTGGAAAATCTGAATAAAAAAGTTCAAAAAAAAAAAAAAAAAAAAAAAAAAGAAATGGTTTCTGAAATAGAAAACAAACTGTTTGTGGGCAGTGCAGACAAGAAGGGCAAAAATCCTCTGTACTGCCTTAACAGCCTGGATACTAACTACTTCCGGTACATAAAGCATTTTTTTTGCCTTAAATAATTACATTTAATTAATACACTTATACTAAGTACATAAGTTTTTCTTGATCTTTAGGACGGCTGGAGAAGTTATGGTAGCGAGTATGGCTCAAGGCGGACCCCTCCCAAACTTCATGCGTGAATGGTGCTACAGATACCTCTGCTCTGGTGATTCAGACAGCATCCAGGTGTCAACTAATGATGTCACAGATTCAGAACTGTTCCACCTTATAACAGAGGTAAGGAAGGTTTTAAAATCCAGCTAAACACTGTACTATGTTTTTTTGCTAAAAAAAAGTCCTCTGAACAGATTCTTCTTTGTAGAAAAAATTCATCTCTTCTGTAAGAGACCTCTTCAGGCAAGAGAGTTACCAGTAAAGTCAGCCTCATAAGCAGTACTTTTGCAACAAGTTAATGATGGAAATCAAAACTGGTTAGTCACGTGCTGATCGTTCAAGTCTTATTCCTGGCCTGTTGTCCTCAGAGGGCTGATTCATGCTCACAATAACGGCATTGGAAGGGGTACAACTGGACCCAGCGACCTCCATGATCCAATCAATCAGTCATTGGCAGTGATGGGACTAACGGCGTTGAAACTAACGGCGTTACTAACGCCGTTACCTTGTTTTAGTAACGAGTAATCTAACTAATTACCTTGACTGTAACTATAACGCAGTTACCATTGCAGGCACCCCGTTACTGCGCGTTACTCAGGTCGCACAATGAACCTTTTTTCATGATAGGACTCGTGCGCAGCTGCGTGAAGCTGACACCCCACCCACGTCAAAAAACTCTGCAAATAGACTGAATGGTAAGTGCAACGTTAGTGCAGATTTGTGCAGAAAAAAATATTGTTTGTGCTACTTTTGTTTAAGAGATATTAAGGATTATTTTTTTAGGTCATCCAGAGGTGCGCGCCTTGTCATGAGAGAGGGGAGGATGAGATTCCGTCTGTCAGTTGAATAGGTGGGTGTTTCTGCTGGTGGGTGTTAACGTACAGCACACACAGAGAGATGGAGAGTGAGGATGACTCCAGCAGCAAAACAGCGTTTTCCACATGGAAATACCGGTGTTACGTAGAGCTGCGTTTCCCCATCACATACCGGTTTCCTCTGCATCTCCACACAGCGCAGGCGGCAAGAGTCACCGCGCAAGCGACAGGAAACGCGCATGCTCGCTAAAGGCGCGCAACAGTCGCTCTGTGCTCGCGCCACAGGAGAACTATGGAGAGCGTGAACGATCAAATGAACCTGACAACAGCCAGAAATGATAGCCTATATGGAGAAAGGGAGAAATCTGGATGGATGGATGGATGGATGGATGGATGGACGGACGGACGGACGGACGGACGGACGGACGGACGGACGGACGGACGGACGGACGGACGGACGGACGGATGGATGGATGGATGGAAGGATGGATACTCTGCCTTCTCAACCTACTGTATTTTTTATTTTAAACATTATTTGATGGCCTTTGTGGCAGGGATGGAGATCCATATTTTATGTCACACACAGAGTATAGATAGATAGATGGATAGATAGATGTTGCAGTATCTATAACAACCCAAACACACAGGATTTCAGAATTAGACATCCCCAGTTATTAATTTCATATACTCACCGGATCTGAATGTCCTGTTATAAAACTTCACATCGCGTTCCCCCTGATGTCATTTACGTTGAGTTGCAATAAATGCTAAACTGTCTGCAGGTTCTTGTCTTTGTCGTCCGCTCTATTCAGCTGGCTTTGGAAACACACAGCGAGAAGGTGGGGGCTGGGTGGTGAGGGTTACCGGGGCGGGAAACGCAAAAGTAACGCAATAGTTACTTTTACTAGTAACTAGTTACTTTTATTGTGGAGTAACTCAGTTAGTAACTCAGTTACTTTTTGGGAGAAGTAACTAGTAACTATAACTAATTACTTTTTCAAAGTAACGTGCCCAACACTGGTCATTGGGCAGAGGGTATCTTTTGCATGTGACTACCTGTAACAATTTCCATTGCTAATTTGTAGCAAAGGTACTGCTTAACAGGCTGAGTTTACAGGTGACTCTTAGACTGAAGAAGTCTCTTGGAGAAGGGAGATGTATGTACATGAGCCTGACCGCCCAGACACACACACAGATGAAACTGCTGAGATTTTTGTCAAAAAAAAAAATTTCTTGTTTGATTTGCTTCTCAATTTTGACATCAATAAGGGGGGAAAAAATGAAAAGGATAAAATGGGAAAAAAATATATAAAGCCACACCCAAAGGTACATACAGTGCGTGTAATCGTACATCTGCAGGAACCCCTGTGTACAGATTAAATTATGTTACAGTGATTAAAGGTATGTGAAATATTAGCTTATTATTGAGCAAAAGGTTATATACTGTAAACTACCACCGAAAAAAGATTTCCGGAAAAAAACAGTGCATTCAGTTGTCATTTGTAAGTTTCCAAACATTTTTGGAAAAATAAAGCTTGTTTGGTCTTCAGGTAAACAGAGCAACTGAAGAGAACATAAATGAGCTTACGGATGACATAGTAGGCTGTGGCTATACTGGAAAGGTATCTGTGGACAAAAAAGACCTCATCATGAGGTAAAGTTTTTGTTTTTCTTTCATTTGCTAAATATTACTGATTATTCAAATGTGTTATTTGTGTCATGTAACTACTTCTAAATGTTGAGAAATTATTCTAAGCACACAGAATTTTGTAATTAAATGCTTTTGTATTGTCTTATATAAATATGTTTTGCAGAGCGATTGTGTTGCACTCAACAATGAGACTTGTGCCGATGCTTGACCAACTGAGAAAAGGCCTGCAGCTATGCGGCCTGCTACAAGTGATGAAAACCAACCCAGATTTGTGTTTGCCTATGTTTGTTCCTGGGGAAGATGGCAGAGTGAGTATACATTTATGTTGTCTCCATTAAAATAGTTTTATAAACATATGAAACGACTTATTTGTATCCTTTGATCATGCCAGGTGGATGCTGCATTTTTCCTTGAAAGATGCCAACCTGGGTTTAGTGAGAGGGGTTCTGTGAGATACAGCAGAGAAGTTAACATCATGAACTTCTTTCAAGACTTTCTACAAAACATAGAGGACTGTGGTATGTTTTCACTGGCATGACTACTTTGTTGTAAATGTACTACTGCCAGTGGTGATAGGAAAACAATGTTTTGATCTGTGTGTTTGTGTGTACTGTGAGAACTTTTCTCATGAATAACTTCATTTATTATGAATACTTTATTATAATACATTTAAATCTAATCAACTTCTTAGTTGATCTTATTTTTATCGGCTAATGTAGAATGTAAGCATAATGCTGCTTTCAGACCAAACTCCTTTTAAGCATTAGTGACTTCACATGCAATGTTTATGGTGAATGCGCCCTCGGATTACTTTGAGCTATCCTACGGTGCGTCACACGCATGTTGCGCTGCAAGCTTTGAAGCTTTCTGGATGTTTTGTGCTGCCTATTTGGGTTGACCAGCTTTGAGCACCTCTAGAGCGGCCTATGTAAGAGCTGGATGCAATAGTTGTATTTTATAATAATCCAGTAATTCACAGCACATTCACGTCGTGCAAGGCTCTCAACATTTTGCAAGAGTTTGGAATGCACCTATAACATTAAAGGTTTAACCAAAACTGTTTAATTTCAAAAACAAAATCTGACTTAATAAGCAGTTGTAATATGCATATCTTCAAAAATGCTAGGCTTTTAACTTTTTGTTTTCTCCTTAACATCTACCTTCTTTACAAGAACAAGATGGTCAGAAGGAGGATCCACAGCAGCTGACCGTTGGCAAAATCATGCAGTGGATAACAGGACAAGCACACAAGCCAGTGCTGCCCAGTGAGAAGAAGGACTTCTTCATTTCTGTTAAATTTTACCATGACTGTGACTCAAGTCATACCATTTGTTTTCCTGTTGTTAGTGCCTGTAGCCGCACAATCACATTTCCAGTTGTACATCTTACAACCCTGAATGACTTTAAAGAAAATATGATAGCAGCCGTTACTCACGGACAATCATTTAGCCTCGTCTGAGTGATTTTGCTTTTTGTTAGTTAAATGTGCCGTTCTGTTGGAACTTACATGAAAAAACCACAGTGGCCAATGTTTCTAAGTGAAATCCTTAAAGTTCTGTCAGTTTGATAAGTAAACACTTTCCAGGACTTTAGTTACCAGGTTTATAAAAACATTTGTGTAAGTTATATTCAGCTGTTTGAGTTACAAGAAATTCAGTTCAAGGAATGAAAGTTTTTAAACTTTCAGTGTTTTATAAAGGAGTTTGACAGTTTTTTTCTAAACAAATAAAAACTGAATTATTTTTTACTTATCTTCTGATTTATTTATTCAAACACAATAATTAAAGTTTTTCATCAACAATCACAACGACACACAGCTCCATAAACTATACTTTCATAAGTTGTAATCTGTATAGAAATGAGTAAAAAGAATACAATCAAATACAGATGAATAGCTGTGCAGATAAATGACATTAAATACCCAAAAATGGTGACATCAATGTAGATTATTAAATTTGCAAAGGCAGGATACAGCAAATAGTCATATTTTCACAACAGGTGTGTTACTTAAATGCTGTCGCTTGTTGCCCAGTGATCTTCAACATACTGAATCATTGACACATAAATGTCCTGTCCATATGATTGAGAAGGTGCAAGTGGATTGATCATGGTCATCACAGCTTCCATTGCATTTGGAGACAGAGGACAGTCAACTTCTGGGACATGAACTCCAGAAGGTTCTTCACTGACACCATCAAACGTTTCCCAGTCAGTTCCAAAGAGCTCTGGGTTCTATAAGCAAAAATCAATGACTTCTAACTGCCAAATAATAATGTTTAAGTTTTGTTTCATTAAACAAACCTGCACATCTTCAGTCTCATGAGAAGGTTTCTGCATGTGTCCCATGGTCCAGAGCTGGTTAGGGGGGAGGCCACCTTCAGACTTTAAAGGATGATTGTCCCATCCTTCTGTGAAGGTGTGCAGAGCATCTGCAATGCGTGGAAGGAACACATAGTGTACACAAAACAAATGCAGAGTGTTGGACAACTCCAGAAGTCCGTGCTCCTCCAGATTGTGAAGTACTTCATAGTAGAGATGAGTTACACTGGTCCACACGTCTCGCCATAGGTGCTCAATTCTTAATAGAGAATTATATTTTTTAAAAAAAACAGGAAAGCAGAAGGTGAAACAGCAAAAAAGCAAGTGTTTTCCATTTGACTCCTGACTTTTCTTTCCCCTCTGAATTCTGATAAGTCAGAAACCAGAATATTTCTTTACACGTGCTTCCATAAACTAACCATTGAAAACTTTTGTTTATGTTAGAATAGCATTGCTAAAAATGTGACTTCTATTGATCACACACCTGTCTTTTTTTAAGAAATTAGTATTATATATTGGTTGCTTTATTCACTGATACTTGGTCACAGACATATATATATAATACCTTTGATTGTGTACACTTTTGCCAGCTATAAAACTCCCTCTTCCCGTTCCTTTTACACTGAACATGGCTTCAGCTACTGCCACGTTTTCAACTCCTTCATCACCTCTCACCCTGTAACCACAGATATGTAATTTACATAAATACAGTATGTCTGAAATTTATATTACACACACATACATATATGTCATACATTTATTTGTTTGTTGTTGCTTGCAATATTTGCAAGCAACAACAAACAAAGCAGCAACAAAAACTACCTGGAAGGCCAACCATAGTTTTCCACAGCTTTTAGAAAAAATGTAAGAGCAGTGCTTGCTCTGTTGTTTGTTGCAGGCTCCAAGTACATTATCTGTAAAAATTAAAGGCAAACATGTTAATATTGCACATATACTATATAACCACAAAAAGAAAACGTCTTTATGATGTACCTTTCTGGAGTATCCATCTATTGCTCCAAATATGACGATGTTATACCTTTAAAAGAGAATTTTACAACATTCTATCCAATTATGTTCATAGGAAACCCAATATCTTGGTAAAAAAAAGAAATGTTACCTTATAAACTTATGATTTGTGTCTATATGTACTAAGGACAAAGGATGTGGTACAGAGTATGTCCTTCTGACGATGCACCCTAGCTGCAACATTCTTTGTAAAACTCCAGCTCCATCAACTCTGTGCATTGAGTCTTTGATCCGTTCCCACTGAACTCTGTGACCCTCTGCTTGAAGGCAACCCTTTACCATCCGATATCCAGCATTAGGTAATCTGTTCTTTATTGATAATATAGCATTGTCAAGTTCGCTGTCAGATAAATTGCTGTAGGAAGATCTTGTTGATAACCCAAGCTCACGCATGCGTCTGAAAATAGTAGATATGCTGACTCCATGCAGGTTTGCAATACATGACACTGGTAGGGCCATGTCTATTAAATGGACCAAAAGGTCTTCAGATACTTCTAATTTGGGTCGCCCTCGTCTACTAGAAACTTCTGTGGTAAGAACACAATGTTCTTCTTGAGAAAGGGTGTCATGGATCTTTCTTTGAAGGGTTAAAATACAATCCATAACATCCATGGGTATATCAAGAACAGTTGATGCAGATGTTAAAATAAACACCTCCTGATTTACAATATATTGGAAATAGTCCAAATCCAAATTTGGCTGGTCTAGAACCTCATTAATTCTTGAGAGAAGGCGTTCCATTACATGTCTGCAGTGGTTCCTGCAAACATAAAAATTGACTAGTTACTTTTTAGACAGCACAAATTCAATCCTTTATTTTCCTGTTAGATCAAAATAAAAACAAGATTGACAACTTAAAAAGTCAGGAATCATGAAATAAAAGTGTAATTTTACATGAAAAATACCGTTTGTTTATGTACTTGTATGGCTGAGCTAATATCTGTTCACAGATTGGTATAAAGACAGATTCAAAATACAAGACAAAATGTGGATAGCTTTTTATTATATTAGTATAGAAGTAATTTGTCTGAAAAGTGTAGTCTGGCATAAGTAGATAAAATGTTATTTCTAACCTGTTACAAATAACAGGTTGAAGTTAATTTTAGAGGTGGTAAATTATTAAAATAATGCTGTATTTGTACTATATTGTATGATTCTTTTTAAAACACTACCTTTTGGCAATTGGATTTACGTTTTAAACTCAAGCATTAAAAAAACCAATGATTATATACTTAGATTTTATACTTTATAAGCGAAAAAGCAGTTGTTCTCCAACCAAAAGTTTGCCACCATTGCAGCTGTAAGTTCGTCCAATGTTGTGCTAACCTCTTGGAGAAAGGTTTAATGTGCAAAAAAACACTAGAAGCTAAAGTAAACAGTAACACTTTCGAATCATCATTACAGACTAAAAGTTGACACTTGATTTAAAACTAGTTTGCTTTTGTTTTTAAAGACCGGTTAGCTGAAAACAGCTCTTAATTTGGTTAACTATAATGCCTCTGTTCACCCTATTTAAGGTGAAACTGGTTAAATTCCTTTTTAAAGGATATCAGCCTAGGTTCAATCATAGAAAATGTGTGCACAAAAAAGGACAGATTCTAATATATCTGCAGGGTGGGAACGATAAATCTGATAGGATTTTTATCTTTTTATTGCTGTTTTGCACAATATGCTTAACTACGTATTTTTTGTTGTTGAATATTAGAGATTTTGCAGATATATTTTTTATAAATACATTGTTTAGATTTACTTATATCTTTCTACCCCTTTTTTAGAATAGAAAATCCCTTTATTGTCCCACAATGGGCAAATTTACAGCAGCAGAAAGATTATTGAAAATGGTCACACAAATGTGGACCTTAGAAAAATGTATAAGAATAACATAATAGGGAAGAGTTAAAATATAAACAATACAATTCTGTAAAGTGTTTTAACAATATAAAACTGGGGAATAAATAACCAATATGCAGCTATGGACATTTTTACAGTAATGGATATTCGAAAATAGCAGCAACATCAGAGATGTGCAGAATGACAGCAGCAGGTTATTTAACTGACTAAGGTTTCTATCATTACATTTGATTTGATTTGTTCCTGCTCCCGGTGGTTGGAACCTTTATTCCACTCTGGATTCTTGTGAGTGTAGTCTTTGTTCACTTCACAATAAAAAAGAAATAAATAAACAGTTTTGAAAACTTCTGTATTCATTCTTTTCCTGCTTTGTGTGTCAACGTTTACGGTTGCTAAGCAACAGAGCATACGCCGGTAAAACCCGCCGAAGGGTAGACCTGGTCGAATTCACAGCCTAAACTCTTCCGGTCTCCTTATTTTCAAGGACTTCGAAGGATCCAGTCTAGGTAGACCGCGTCCTTGGAGGATGCAGCCCAGGATTTCGAACAGAGCCATTACCTGGCTTTGCTCCGTAGCTTCCTGGTCCTCATCTTGCCGCTACTAAGTTGAAAGAACACAAAGTACGCATGCGCGGCTCCTATCTTCCTGCTCTGTGCTCCATTAACCAGCCTTGGAAACCGTGACGTCAGACCACTGTTGTGAATTCGTATTCTCAAAGAAAAAATCCGTATTCTCAAACAGCCGCTGCTGTTTGTGTTCATAAAGAATAAAGCACAAATTTAAACTTGAAATTCGTATTTATTAGTTATTGAAGTTGTAACTATTTAAACTGTATGTTGCATGTTTTGAATGAGATTTCAATTATTATGAGTTTACAAATTTTTGTTATGCACAACTTCTGACTAAAATGCACACAACTATGCTTTTATGCACAAGTTTATTTTGACAGTGATCTTACCTCATATTCAAGCTACTCATAGTTCTCTGCAAACGTCTTTACTCTCCACATGACCTAATTATTACCCACGCTATCTTTGGTTTTAATCTTTTGTAGATTTCGTAGTCTATCTTACTTGTTTATATTTGAACTTATTTTTGCCCCTTATTGAACCCCCCCATCTTATTCCTTTTCTATAGTTTTTCATGCTTTAGATACTTTATGTTAATACCGCTTGTCTTTATACTTTGGAAAATGTTGTCCTCTTTATATATCAAAATTTTATAAACTGACTCCTTACTGAAATGCTCATCTTAGTTTCTAAATTAAATCACTGCATTATATATTCACATTACATTCACATTATGATTAATTCCAGCGCACTCTAATATATTTGCAGCATTAAAATGTGTTTTTTTTTTTTTTTTTTTACCACCTTAACACTGTTTATTTCAGCTTTGATATAAGCTTGTGTGTTTCCCCAACCCTTTTGTCTCGAGTCTGGATCTTCTGTGGACTCCAGCTTTATAAAATAGCATATGATGGCAAGGTACTTGGTCATTACAATGGCATGGCTCATATTAAACAGTCTGCAGTCCACTCCACACTGAGGTGTTCATCTAAACTTGTTAGAGATTTTGCCACTTTTTAATATGGATTTAATCTTAAAGGAGAATTCCGGTTTTTAACACTTTTAGCCCATTTTCTGTAGTGTCCAGGATGAAATCGAATGATCGACACCAAAATTTTGACAATTGGTCCTGTCTCTGCTTTTTGGCTCATTTAGAATCCACCCCTGGCTGCTTCAGAACGGCTTCCATAGTGCATGTCAGATAATGTCCTTAAAACAACCTTAAACGTTCTTTTTTTAAAATATGCTACTCACCGGGTCGTCAGCGCTGTTCAATGACGTTCCAAAAAAAGTTTCGTAAAGAAAAAACGTTCCTGTAGTGTTTTATTTAGCATTTTGTAAATTCCATTGAGTTCTGTTGGAATAGTCAATATCCCTCCGCCACCGGAAACGGAAATGGGGCCTGTTTACACAGTTGTAGTCTTTTCGCTTCACTCTGTGTACTCCGACGTCGAGGGGCTAACGTCTCTGTTAAACACTTTAAAAAACTCTGAAAATGGAATACGAAACGTGGATTCTTGATTCTCGACGTCAATTAAGCAAATGGGCCTATGAGGTAAGCCAGACAATGTCTACCTGTTACTACCACTAAATAATGGTTAATAGAAATCTTAACAGCAATACTGTAAGTCCTAGTAAAAGATGAACTGTACTTACTAGCTTAATTGAAGTGCTGTTATTTTTTAGGCATTCAAGCACTTCATGATTTGTGTTGACATTTTTAAGAAATATATATATAAAAAAGAAAGGTTTCATATTTGCGATGCATATCATACATGTTGCACCATATGCCATGATCATACTTTTTGGACATTGGGAACCAGTGTCCATATTTCATCTTGACATGATTATGTGGAATCAGCTGTGGAATCTCTGCAAAAACCCCTGTTTCAGACAAGGCTTCCACAGGCAAGTCACATGGAAGCCACCAGAGGTGTGAAAACTTACCCCCCTCTCTGTGAGGACAGAACAAAATCACAGAGCACACAGGATTCTCTCTCTTTTCTTTTCTCTTTGCCTCCTGCTCTCCTTGCCTCCTCTCCCTTGCCCAGGAAGCTGTGGAGATGCGGGCCCCAGTGGAACCAGATCTCAAGAACCATCAAGGATAGGTCAAAACCTTTCAGAACCAAACTGCTGCAAAACAGACCTTTTGCAACACATTTCTCTTGAGTTTCAGAACTTATAGAGATGGAAAAAGGTTTGCAGGTCTGGTATAATTAGGGACAGAACAAAAAATATGTCTTTTGATGATGTTAATCATATCATGTGTTTACTGCTGAGTAAAGACAATGCTAATTGATGCTACAGAATAGACTGCATGTTATGCTATGCTACGAGAATATGTGTTGGGCTGTTGCTGAAGCTTGGACAAGCTTTATTTCACTAAGAGTTTAAACACTGATATAACATTAGTGTACATGTGTTCCTCAAACGCACATTACATTTCCATTACCGAGTACGACCAAGAGTCATTTAGTGGAATCCTGATGTCTATTCGCTGCTAACTATTTCAAAGAGGGTAAAGAATCATTTGACTAAAGGTTTTTGGTTCTTGATTAAGAAAATAATTTAATAAAACATTATTCGGCCTAATAATGTTTTATTCACCTCATGGATTTGCATTGTGAATTGGTCTGAAAACATTCCAATTTCTTTAAAATGAGCAAAAAGCTAATTTTGTTCATTTGATCATAATTCCAAATTCTTCCAGATAAACTTTGGTTTCAAACACAAAAATCCATCTTAAACTGTAATATGGTTTTAAACCATGCTTCCATTCCTCTTTGTACATAATAGTTTAGTTTAGTTGAGTTTTACTAGACTTAGTTAATAGTGTTAAACTGAAATATGTTTGACTTGGAGCTGAATGATTTTTGTTAATAAACTTATATTATGAACAGAAGTTGTGGTGAACTTATTCTATGTATGTGCAGAATTAACTGACCATGATTAGTGCTCGAATCACTCTTTCATTTATTGTTCTAACACACAGCTAGTAGGACTGTGTGTCATAAACAGTAGATAACAGCCAAAACAATATCTGATTAAATAAGATATTTTACACCCCCTACCGGGGAGGGCAATAAACATCTTAAAGTATCAGAAATATAAATTCCCAGCTAACTGGGAATAGAATTGAACATAAAATCACAACATACACATCGGTTCATAGAAGTGCAGATTCACATTTCAGCACATACCAGGAAAAAACATTACAAGCTAGACCTGTTTTTCAGCTTTTGAAACTTGGAGATGTTTTCAACCAAATCAAACAAACAAACATTCTA